ATGCACTGTTGCATGAAGTTTGCACACAACTGGGACATACTACTACGCTGTGATGTTGCGTCTTAACTTTGACTGTCTGGCTCACGCATTTAAACTTGCACGAGACACTGTGACGCATCTTCTGCTGCACAGAGGAATGTGCACAAGAATGGCTATAGACGCATTCTTGCTTGCGTGCTGCAAAATACACTCGTATGTAAGAGGACCGTACGGTATTTTTGGCTTACTGCATTTAACATACCATCAATCAGGACATAATAAATCTGTCTCTTACATACTGTTTAGTATGGTATTCTTGGTTTTGGAACCCATGCTTAATCTCAAGAGTTGTTTTTAAAACCACCTTCAGTCATTACATGATTGAAGGTAGAACCAAAAGACTCACAGTGTCCCAGAAAGACAAAGGGACAAAAAATCGGAGGAAGCCATCTGGTCATGTGCTTTTAAAGGTTGCTTCAACCTTTACAAGGAGACTACAAATGCATTTGCTGTTGAAAAATACTTTGCTTGGCTTGTTTTGCAGGACAAAGTGCTGTCAAAGGATGAAAACTTGAATTTTCCTAGAGGCCAATAAGTCAATGCAAATGATTATTCTGTGAGTCAAGAAAGAGAAAAGTAATTAAGCAACAGATTTTGCAACTGATGGGGCATTTGAAAGCATCTCCTCGGACTCTCACAATGTGTGTTTGGCATTTTCATTACCTTTTCAATGTGGTCAATCACAGAATACTCTACATATCATCAGTGAAAATAATCCTTGTGATCATGAAATTAAGTGTTAAAAGGATTATTGGTAAATTAGGCAGTCTCTACTACAACGGACAACTTTCCTGGACTGTATTTGGTGTGGGACTTGTGTTTGTCTAGTCCACTATTTCTGTAAAATAAAGGCATAAAATATGTAGCAATAATAATAGGAAAAAGAAATCCAGTCCCTCAAGCTACTCAAGTGGCAAAAGTAAAACCACTCCACGAGTGTGCAATTTGTAGTACAAATTACAGCTACTTCTTATGATTATTTGCCTGCTACAGTCTTCATTAATCAGGAATTAGTGAAAAATGCCCCTCATAATTTCTTACTGCCCAAAGGGATTTCATCTGATTCCTTGTTCTGCCCACACAGACTCCAAAACCAAAAGATCACCAGTTTAATGTCAAGTGAGTAAAAGACTTCATTTTTGCTTAAAAATATGACTAAACCAATTGTTAGATTATCAGAGTAGTCAGTTGGCAGCAGAGTGTTTTTCTGTTGATTGAGTAGGTGATTAGAACACTCTAGAAGTCCAGTAATCTGTCAGGCCCTCTGATTCAAACTCCTGTGGCTCTTCGACAATTGAACTTGTTTCTGGCTCCACAGCAGCTCTGTTTGTATGACTGAACCTCCAATCTGTGCATTGTGTCTGGGTAGTGGATGTTGAGACCTTGAAGCCATAACTTTGCTGTAACGGAGTGGAGAGCAAAGCGCCAGTAAAAACAGTGGAAGCAGATAATGAGTCAGCTTTCTAGTTTGATACGAGCCACAGCGGCCAGCTAAGCTTTACAAAAGAAAAAAAAAAAACAGCTTGCAAAGGCTTTTTCAAAACACAGAAAATGAAAATGTCTCTAGTAGTAGTAGTTGAACAGTATTATACATTATTGTAATGTGTATAAACTCCAGCGGTAGGTAGGTAGGTAGGTAGGTAGGTAGGTAGGTAAGTAGGTAGGTAGGTGGGCGGGTTTGTACGACTGGCATCGGACAGTAAAACAAGGATTAGACAATGTTAACGCAAACGGGAAGCACTACGAAGTCATTTGGTCAGTGTGCAAGTAACCATGAAAATTCCTTGTCCATTTTTAGACAAACCATCAAATTTTGGTTTTCAGTTCTAGAAACATTTTGAGACTTTAAAAGAAAAAAAAAAAACTAGATCCAATGTACATCATCTGCCACACTTTATTATCAGCGATTCCACTGACCTTTGCCACAGGCATGAATGATGCTTTCACTCGAGGCCAGCAGGTGTTTTGTGTCCCCACACTTAGTGGCAAAATGTCATTTTGAAACAATGGCCAATCCTGGCTTCACTGATCCGACGACAGCCTCAAACCACTTTTTATTGGACAAAGGAGCAACCACAGAGGAAGAGAAACATCGTACAAACAGCATCCTGATGCCCTTCTGGTTCCTCAGAACCACCTCAGCGTAGCAATTCCTATATGTCTTAGAGTTGGAGGAATTCAACTTTTGTACCCATAAGGTGAAACTCCTGTAAATGAAAGGCTAATTGTATGTTGTTTTTGTTCCAGTCAAGCACAAATCTACTTGTGCAACAGAATTTATCAACACTGTTGTTGCTGGATGACCCTAAACTGCCTTCTAAGTAATAAAAAGTTCTAAACACAGTCATTGCCAAGCTGAGGAGGTTCTGAGAAGCCCAGCCCTGCTGGTGCAGTGATGTCTTCCAGTGAGTTTTACAACAGAGTCAGTACAGTAAACAGCAGCTGAGTGAATTGCAGGCGAAGTTCCAATTACCTGCAGCAATCGGTGCTGGTCTTTAACCAGCTTTTCGGCTTAAGTCTTGTGGAATACATCACTGTGTGTAGGTGTGTTTCTGACCTGCCATTATGTGCTTGATGCCCGTCAGCGTATTTCTGTGGTCTAGCATTCATGCCAACACCTCAGAGAGAGTTTTGCTCTCAAACATGCACCAGCTCAGTAAGTAGGAAACTGTATAGTTTTGTGTATTTATCCTTTACACATAATCTCTTGACCATGCAGTCCAAATGTTAAGTTAGCACAAACGAACTTAACCTCGGCTACTTGAGCAGATCTTCTGCTGATACTGACACTGATGCTCCAGTCTGAGGACAAAAAACGTCCACATTGTGACTAATTTTATCGATTAAACCCAGAAAGAGAGACAAAAAAAATAAAAAATACTCCAATCTGGATCTCACTCGTGGATATTTGACCTGACAGAGTTGCAAAATTCAAAGATCATCAGAGCACATTTCGGGCTTTGAGCCAACACCTACACCAGCGTACCACACAGAGGACAGTGATGCTTTGAAGTTGTATTCTAGTGCATACTGATAAAAAGAACCTGTAAAAGAAACCAGTCTACAGTATCTAAGAAGCGGAAGGAGAGGGCATTGAAGCCACACTGTAAATATAGAATAATAACCAGTTTGTGTTTGCTAAGGCTGCACAGTATCAAGGAAAACAGATCAAAACTGCAATTATCAGTGTGGCAATTTGCCTGACAAGGTGCTGGCTTAAAATCTGACTTTGAACACGAACAAATATTTTGAAACACCTCCACGACTTTCTGCAGTGGAAATTCAGCCTATATGAAGTGTTCCTTTTTCCTGCCGGCACTGTGCAGCTTTAGCATTTGCTACTACATGTTAAGGCCGTACATGTGAGGCCTTGTCTAATACCACTGTCTACAACGTCAGGCTACTCTGAACATTGAGTATTGAAACCAAGGTTACATTTTTCTGTCTTAGCAACACATGAATGATAACAACCACCTGTTGGAGGATTCTGTGGGCTGTAATGATACTTTGCCACATCCTCATTTCAAAACACAAGCTTTTTGTTGCTGTTATTGTTGTTGTATGCGTTGTTATGGTCGGTTGTAGTAGCGACAGCCAACGTAGAAGTCAAAAATCCACCACCTGTCCTGTATCCACGCTGTAGTACAAATTCAGCGACAAAACTTTGCACACTCAACAATGTGAATCTTCTACGATGGCTTCACCTGAAGGACAAAGGAGACAGAGACACAGCGCTGTCGCCTGTGATGATACTCTCCTGCTGTTAGGGGGCGGTTCACTCTGAGTAAGCTCATGCTTCCTGATGCGGTCAGGACCACATATACATAAAAAACTAGTCATCTTGTACATTATAACCCTGTTATACCAGCTCTGGTGTTTGTATCAGTGTATGTGTGTGTAACGGAGAG